AGCAGAAAAACAAATATTTAATCATCAAACCCTAAAAATTACAAATGTCTGCTTCGAAGTTGCAGCTACATATCTTATTGTTGCAAATTAAACTTATTTAGAAATGAAAGGTAATATCACTAATACTGCAAGTACTTTAAGTGCATAAAGTTTAAAATACTTTCTATTTTTTATTCTGTTTTGGTTCTACTGGAGATGAAGAATTTCATTACATATAAACTTTACCATCTTCTTTTAGCCACTGCAAATCAGTGGATTACATGGTTAATTCATTGGAATTTGCCTCATATTCTATTCCTGGTTATGAAACAGGCTATTTGAATAAAGGATTTTATGATTCTCCCCATATGTAGTATGAATACAAACCAGTTTCTCTTTGAGAAAAGGAGGAGAATGAAAATTTGGTTAAAGTTCTTAATATTAGTTAATTCTTACCTGGTTTACTATTAAAATGCTACACTCCTTGATTTTGCATTTAAAAATGGAGGGGATTTCTTATTAATTAAAAAAAAAAATTTCAATAGATTATCACAAAATGGATTCCTGAATTTTGTGTTTTGAAAATTCATACTAGTGAGTGCAAAAGAAATTTGCAGTAAATTTACATTTAAATGCAATAAACACAAAGTCGTATAAAAGACTGGTTACTTAACTTGAATAAACTCGTAAATTTTGTGTAGGGGAAGAGGAGAAATAATTTTAGATAAAAAACATATAATAAAACGGTACTATTCGGTTTTGAGGGCCGTAAAAAATCGCCAAACTATTGTTAATGCCAGTGCTGCCAAAAATAATTGTGGCAACCCTAACGCAAGAAAGTATAATAGTAAATAATTATTCAAGATTGATGTTTTAATTTAGATGAAAGGTTAATTTCATATAATACTTTTTTATTATTATAATTTATATAAAAAAGGGTAAACATCACTGAATGGAAGTATAAGAGTAAATAACTATTTCAGATCATTATTATAATTTATATAAAAATTGCTAAACATAACTGAATGGATGCCTGCATCGCTAAAGCATAGTTTCATCTCATTGGTTGTTCAAACATAATTTTCTATGATGAATGATGTCTTTTCTTTGAAAATATTTTCGGTAAAATGCAGAATCGCCCACTTATTTGTTTGCCGCTTTTTACAAGGGTAAAAACAATTGGATTTTTGTCAATTTTCTTTTACTTTTTAAGTGAAAATAGATCGATGTGTACATAGATAAAATCAAGGGTGTGCGCAGTGCCATTATTGTGCTATTCTGGGATTTTTTTTAAAGTGAAAATAGGTTGATGTGTACATGGATACTGAGATGTGCAGTTCTTAAAAAAGCATCAAACAGTGGGTGATTCTGCCCTTTACCCAAAATTCTATTGCACAGTTTTCGTCATGGGCAATTCCCAAATTGTTAAATCCATAGGATATCAAAAAGGAATTTACAATCAAAAAAGAATTTAAAAATTAAACTAGTATTTCAATGGCGTCTTTCTTAAGATGAACTATATAAACTTACACAATCTGAAATCAGCGCTTGTGCTAGATTTGGCGCACTGTTAAATGGGTACGTTTGCTAGATTTTTCGCTTTTGCGCATACATTTTTGCTGCAATTTTTTTACGGTCCTCAAAACGGAATACTACCAATAAAACTTTTCTATTTTTCTTTTCATAAACTGACAGCAAATTAAGAATTTTTCACTGTTTTCTATTGAATTTTTGAATAAAAAAAATTTTTTTTAAGGGAAAAAATCAATTCAGATACAGTTTGCAAAAATACAATACACAAAGCCATAAACTAATATATAAAATTCCCCTGGTTACATAAATACGAAACATAAAATCAAAAATGATATCTCAGAACAAAAAGCTAAAATGTGAACACATAAAATCAAAATGATATAGTGAACATAGTAAAAAATACAGAGAAATTTCAATATTTCACAAAAAGCCTCATAACAATTTCAAATTAAAAAATTATTTCTGTTTTAAAGTTTAGCACAAATTTATTATTTCATAGTTATATATGAAGTTATTCTCTGAAAATTGTTTCCACTAAATTTAAATTATCAAAGAAAGCCATAAATACCTAAAAAATTAAAAATGTAAACTATTACAATATGTGTCAAACAAAACTTCATGACAAGGACTGTTCTTAAACTTACTTATAAAGAATAAAAATTTACAGTAGAAGTTTAACTATCCAGGATTTAGTTAACTGAAAAGTTCATGTAACCAGAATATTTCACAGTTTTGGAAATAATGCCCCTCCCTTTTTTAAATGAAAAATTAAGCAAATGAGATGCCATCATAAAGCAGCTACAGGATTACTATTCAAAATCTCATTTACAACATCTTTCAAAATCTGAGTACAATTATACTGCTGTCTTTCAGAAGATATTGATTGATTAATTATTTCAGGACTAATATTCCTTTAAATTCAGGTATAATTTATAAACCTTCTTCTCGCTTAGCCCAAGTTTATGCTTAATATTTTCTTTCCTGTTTTCTGATTAAATCTGCAAAAGAGTCATTACTGAGAGAAACTTTACATGCTTTCTTTTATTTTATTTTTACTTGTGAAAATATATTTGCAAATCTCTCAGGTATAAGAGCTTCAGGCACTTTTTTAAACACCTTAGAAAAAGATCAGTCCTTTTCATTTAATATCAAACATGCACATAAAACGGTGGCAGCTCTCAGAACTTTTTTATGATGCATAGTATTTTTCTTTCAAGGGGGGAGGTTATATGCAAACTAAAAAATATGTAAATTAAAATTATAATTTAAACTAATGGTAACTCTTTAATTCTCCCTCTCTATTCTAAAAATCATAATGTCTGGATTGCATTATTTCTAGATCAATCCATCTTGTGTGGCCTGCATAACGCAGATGACATGGGTAATATGGAACCTAAACTCAAAATTTTGAGAACTAAAACCTTTCTGACTAAACCAAAACCTTCCTCTTGACAGGTAAATTACATTAATTTTATGCCAAATTTTTTTTATTAAAAATTAAAATACTTTTTTTAATTGTCTTTACTTGAAGTACCCATACCATATATATCTACTTTATATATAGACTGATTTTAAAATATGCTTTTCTAAGGGTGGTATGGTGTTCCCTGAAAAAAATTTATTTTTTTAAGGGTTCCGTGAGTCGAGTTTGAAGACCTCTGACTAGGAGATGTGATGAAAAATCAGGAATTTCCCAGTAAAACTGGAAGAATTGGCAGCTATGCCATTGTGAGTGACTTAAAAGTTGAAGGAAAACCTAAAGATAGCCAAGTTGATTGCTGACAGCATTACAATAAAGTGGAATTGTGTATGCATTAGAAGTAGGTTTCGTTCCCTAAGCATAATTAACTGCTTGGATCCAGCCAATAGATTTAAAAAATAAATAAATAATTAAAAAAATCTATTATAACTATGAACAAACTAGTAAATTCTAAAAGTTTCTTAATTTCAATCTGCATTTTCAATAAAAAATATCATTGTCAGGCCTTTGAATCAAATCAACAGGTTTGTGAATGCTTAGAATTCTGTTTTCAATCAAATACTTAGAGAGAGATGGCAGAAAACTTTATTTCCAGTTAACTTTTATTTAGATTCATCTGATGAAGAATTCAGCAGTTTTAAAATAGCAAATGGTCTGGCAAAAAAAAAAAAAAAAAAAAAAAAAAAAAAAAAGATTCTAGGCAAGGAATGTCTGAAATAGAGCCATCAATTGATCGTGACAAAAATTTGCCTGTAACAGAAATTTTAACAGATGATTTAATTAAAAATACACTGTCTCAAGGAAGGGGGGGGAGGAATGATTCACAAGAATTTATCATTTAAAAAAAAATAAATAAAAAATCTGGGTTGTGGAGAACGTTTTCTGGCATCTTTGCACTTTGTGAGAAAACTCTCTATATACCTAATAAGAAATTTTAGAACTGCATCTCCTTAAACAGAAAAAAAGGAAACTTTCACTAAAACACACAGACATTCATAATGTGTTTAGTTTAACTTCAACGGCCTTAAAGCAACGATAATACATAAAAATTTAAGCATTCTATATATTCTAGAAAACATATAAAATTAAAATACCTTTGAGTTCTGTCTAAAACAGACAGACATTAGTTTAACTTCAACAGTTTCAAAGCAATGATAATACATAAAAATTTAAGCATTCTATATATTCTAGAAAACATGAGTTCTGTTTAATGCATTTTGAGCAAATTTCTTAGATTTATTTAAGTAATATTCATAATCAGATAAGATCATTTTCATGAACAGATAAGATGATGAAGCAAATTTCTTAGATTTATTTAAGTAATATTCATAATCAGATAAGATGTTTTACTTTCACATGTTTAAGGCCTACAAAAAATTCGTCAGCTTTTATGACTACAATACAAATATCTTTAAAAAATTTTTTAAATTTTAATAGTTTTAAATCTAATTCTTTGATTTTCACACTGATAACGAATCATATTAAAGTTTTATAATTTTAAACCAGAAACGACTTCCTTCATCTGTTTGGTTTTTCTACGATGCACATTTTATATACTCAATTATCCACAATTTTAATGTAGTTGGTTGATATCTAACATCTCACTGGCTTTTCAGATAGTTAACGTTTTACTGTGTATAGCAATTTTTATGCCATTGTTGTCATTACCATTTCTAAGCACACACATAACTTTATGCAGATGCTTTTGTATTTAAATTCAAGATATTCGCATTAGATTACGATGAAAGTAATGAAAAAACATTTAAGAAAATAACACACTAAAAGTTTCAACTTATTTACAAGCTCTCCTTCTTTTTAAAATCATAACACTAAATATTAATAGGGCTATAAAAATTTTCACATTGTATACAGACTTTTATTGGAATTATAAAATTATGCTCTATTTTTTTAAGATTAAATTTTGAAAAATAAGAAAATATCAAACATTCAAACTAATCTTATAAATTAATCTTCAGCATAAACTATTGACTTTTAAAAAATAAATTACAGTTCAAACAGGAGCAGGTGTAGGAACACTTAACAGGGGTGAGTCAACTTCCATCTGTTTAGGAATGCAAATAGGCTGATGATTTTTCAGCAATTTTTGTATTTCTTGAAATAATGGTTGGATGCCTTCATAATGCTAAAAAGAGAAAAATTCCAAATAAATAAAAACAAACAGTTTAAAAAAAATGCATTAAAAGAAAACACACACAACATAAATAAAATTTGTGATATTTAAATATTATTAATTAAATAATTGGTTCTCAAACTGCATTATGTCTATCCCTACAAACATGTAGCATACAACAGCAATTTTCAATAGTAAACAACACAATGACAAATAATAAGAGATGCAAACAATGTTGAAGTTTTTATGCTTCAGAGGATTTTTTTTTCTTTTGTTTTTTGGCCAAACTCAAAATTTTATACTTTTTTACATTTTATTAGAATTTATTATTATGATATTTTTTTATTATAACAATTAACTTTTGCTAAAACAAGTTAACCATAACAATTTTAATGCATATTAATGGTCGGTTAAACAGGGTATTTATAAAGTCCCGGACCCATTTTGATGTTTAATAACTCATAAAATAATAAAGATAGATTAAAATTAATAACATAAATGGTTAGATAGACTCAAAAAGTTTCATAACCCTTGTCAATGAACTTCCACATGTGCCCCCTTCGTCGCATGAAGAATATCAAGTCGATATTCAATTTCATGCCAGGTACCTGCAAGCATGTTGGCATCCACAGAGGATATTGCGGTTGTAATTCTGGCTTTTAGGCCATCAATGTTCGACACTCTCCTCCTGTAAATGTTGTCCTTTACAAATCCCCAAAGGAAAAAGTCCAGCGGTGTTATATCAGGTGATCTGGGTGGCCAAGGAATTGGACCTCCTCGTCCAATCCATCTTCCTGTAAAATGGTCATTCAAAGAACTATGAAGGATGGTACCCCAATGAGGTGGTGCACCATCTTGTTGCAAAAAGACATGTGGCTGAAGCTCTTCTAGTTGTGGAAATACAAAGTTTTCCAACATGTCTAAGTATACAACTGATGAGACCGTCTTTCTGTAAAAAAGAAAAGCCCAATGACTCGATAGTGCATTAGTCCACACCAAACATTAACCTTTGGGGAATCCCTTTGTGCCTCACGGTATTCATGGGGGTTTTCAGATCTCCATATGCGCACATCGCCATTGCGCACATGGCGATTAACAATGCCAGAAAGATGTCAAAAACAAAAGAGAGAAAAATGCAATTAATAAGCAGACGATATTTAGAAAAGTACACATAATTAGACTGGAAAATGAAATTATCTGAAATTAACCACATGCGCAGACAATATTTATAAAAGTAAAGATATTTAAACCTGAAAAGGAAAATATATAAGTTATTTCATCAATAAATGCCATAAGTTTGTTTATATCTTCATTATTTTATGAGTTATTAAACATCAAAATGGGTCTGAGACTTTATAAACACCCTGTATTTCTTCTAAGGACCTACAGAGAAACTAAATTTGTATTATTATAAATTATACGTTCAGGAAAAAGTTGCTAGATTAGCTGAAAGTTTTTCTACGCATTTTGTCAAAATTGCATTAAACAAATATGGCCTCCGAAAAGACGATTTGAACTTTAAAATAGAGATGATTATTGGAAAATCATTACTTGAACCTTTAGAATTTTTTTTTTTTTTTTTTGTGTTTGTTTAGTCCCACTTAACAGCAGAAATCACAACTCATGATAAAAAGAATATGTGCACCACTAGAAATACTACAGAAAAATTAGAACACTTATCTGCCATAAGCACATTTGCTACAATTCACTGAAGCTATTCTTTCCTATTAAAAGGTATTTTCAACTACACGAGAAAAGTCAGTAAGTATAATTTAAGAGAAAGGATGCTGTGTTTTTTATCAAAAATGTTCACCTGTAGAGCAGTTAAACTCCAAGTTAATTGTCCATCATAGATAATATTTAGGCTCACAGAAAGCTTTGAATGGGGATTTCTCAGTTCCAATATTTTTAATAGAAAAAATTATAACTGAGATTTTCATTCATCAACTTGCAGTTTTATAAGAGTTTCTGAAGAAAAAGTTTAAAATTTCTTACCATAAAATCAATATTAAGACAATAAAAGTAGGATTTTCTATATCTCTATTTGAATTTTTTTAATTACAAATGCAATATATATCAGTGTCTAAATAAAATGCTATCAATGCCTAAATAAAATGCTAAATGTTTATAGAAATTTGCATTAATTAATCTATTTATTTTGCTCCTTTGAAAATTACTTAGGTAGGACAAAAATGAACTCAGAATTGATTGAGGGGTATAATGTAAAAAATAGTTTGAGAACCACTTATTTAACTTAAATTGGCATATCTGCAGCAAAAATCAAAAAAATACATAACAATTTTAGAATACAAATTAAACATTACTCTTAATCAAAAGTTAACTTATAAGCACATAGAAATGGACAACGCAAGAAAACATTTGAAATAGAAAAGTTATGCTGATTAATAGTATTTATTTCAATATGGAAAAGTTATGAAAATGGTCAATTATTTACCTGCTTAATTTGTAAACATAAAAAAAAAAAAAAAAAAAAAAAAAAAAAAAAAAAAAACCCACCATCTGCCTAGTTTTTACATCCAACTCTCCTCAAACTATTACTTAAATAATATATCATTCCATTTATCATGTCCCTTTTCCCAAGTATATTATTTTTTCATATTACTTAGTCTGTTTTTCTTGTTTCCATTTATTAATCTATAATACTGAATTTGCACTTTTATTCTATTGTTTCTTTCCTTTTTAATAAAACCATTTGCAAATTCTAAAAAGTGTTCCTCTGACACATGAACAAGATATGAGGCATTGTAACATATATCATCTCCCTTCTCATAATACAATTTACACGGTATCTTAACATATTCACTGCCAGTCATGCACTGGCACATGATTGGCATTATTGCTGAAGAGCCAATCACGCTCTGGCGCACAGTGTGATGTCTCAGGTGCCAGTCACGTGCTGGCATGGAAAAAGCAACGCCTCATTTTTTATTTTCAAGTTCAATCAGCATTACATTTTGAATATGTATGCTGGCGTTGGGCGTGGAGTGATGGTTAGAAATTACTTGTAAACGTATGTGGTTTGGAATGGAAACAAAGTTTCATTTCAGGCAAAAATCATACATGAATAAGATTCTGAAACATATAGTTTACAGTAATATCATTGTAACTATCTTATAATAATAAATTCACTTGTAATATATGTATTTGTTTGTGATACAGTTTCATACAAAAATAATGCATATTGTTTCTTATTTTTATTTGTTTTTAAATGCCATGTGCAAGTGCATAATGCAGCAAAGCACAAAATAATTTTATCTCTAGTGCTGATCATGTGCTGGTCCGTACTCATAAAATTTTATGCGTAAAGGCCTAGTAATCAATGTACCATGCATTATCACTGTAAAAAAACAGTGAGGGTTTCTGAAGCTATTAACCACTTGCGCTAAAAAGACGTGCCACACACAGCCAGATGCTTTTGTCTCAAACCGCGCACAAAAATGAAAATAATGCGGTGCACACATCGCCTAACAACGAGATTGTTTATTTCTCGAGTTACAGCTCTGGATTACACTCGCAGATGCGGAGCGGCATAAATGAGACACTTTACCGCTTGTTATATTGTAGTGCACGGCACCGCAACCATGAAGTTTAGTCGTAGCACAAGTGGTTAAGCAAAATTTACACAAAGTTTTTGTTTGACATGTTCTTATTTCATACAAAAATATCTATTTCCTATATTTTAAGTTATTACTTACTCACAGTAATTTAGGAAACTGGGTATAAAGTGATGTGTTATTTATTTAATTTTGTTAGAATATATACTAATCCTATTCATAATTTTAATAATCTCAGAGGATTAAAAAATTATATATAAATTTCTTCTTCAGTAATTTCGCTTGGCAAACTCCATAAGCCTTGAATGGCAAATCTAGATACTTTTACCTTAAACCCATATCAAGCATTTTTGGCATCACATTAGATTCCCCATGCATCTTATTTTTTTCCCCATGCTGTTTGGCTGCTAGAAAAAGCAAAATGTACAATAACAGCAATACTCTAATTTCACGACCAAATCTTCCACAAAAAATCATTGTGGAGTTTGTTGTGTTTATCAGTGTTAATGTTAGGTTAAGACAGCAAGGAACTGGCACATGCTACTTTTATGCAATTATTTGAATCAACTGTTGTGTTTGTGATTCATTTGAAGCAAATTTTGATTTCAAAACTCAATAGATGTTGGCTTCACACAACAGAAGTAAATTAATCATATGGAAGTAGCAAAAAGAGACTCATGATCCAACAAACCTGATTTACATTCAGACGTATTAACTTTCTCAACATGAGTGGAAGCTGCACAGCCATTTTAGTTTCAAATCACATTGTAATTTAATGAGTTTGTTATTTTGAACACTGTCTTTTTTTAGCGGAAAACATCACTTTCTTGAAGACACATCATCTCTAGACGACAGTACAAAGCCCAAAATCGGGACATCCATTATCCGGAATGATCTAAAATCCGGACCTCAAAACCACCAACAATGTTTTATCGTAGGCTTTATGCATGTGCATTCCATTCTTCCCTCCGCGCATAATAAAACACCTGGAGAATCCTGATTCTTAATTTCACTTTGACACTACATAAAATACCTTGTCATTGAAGAAACAATCATTTTAGCATAAATTTGTACGATCAGTAATTTGGCTCTGTTGCTGCATATCTGCTTGGCATACATCTCAAAGCCAAACATTCCACATAGATACATCACTGATCTGATGCCAACCTGGGGAATCATTATTTATCAAATATGTTTATCAAAAAATGTTTATCAAAAAATGACAAATTGAGTAATGAGTCATGTAGCATATACCTAACAATTTTTTTATGTTAGTAATTGAATAATAAAGGAGTATGGTAACCTTTTGTGTTGACATTATGCTTGGCGATGATTATAGATTTAAGTTAAATGTGCTAAAAAATGTTGACGAGGAAAAATTTACCAAAAATTTCTTTCCATATGCTAAAAATAGAATTTGTTGACGATACTCATAGACCTAAAGATTACATTTAGGGCTATTTGAATTAAGAATAACTGATTTGTTATCGCATAAACCCACAACCAGCGCCAGGGCTAGTGTGGCCGCATCGAGTCAGAGAATTTAGGACCCACAGAGACTGCATCAGGCGGTAAGATATCTAGCACCGGGTCTAAATAAGGCTTAAGTATATGGTGGGAATTTATTTATTCAGAACTCTGATAAGCCTTAAGCATGTGCAAGAAATAGACATAAATATAAATAAATACATAAACTAAAACAATTCAGGCTTAATTGTCTCAATGCGCGATAGAAGCAAGATAAAATTTAACGGAACAACTTGTCATTAGTCGCCAAGCTCATGATGCATAGCCAAATATGTATAGTGAAGGACAACTAAATTTGATGATTATAGCCGCTAATTTTAAAGACTTTCGGATATTGCAAAACAAAGGTGAAATTTTCCAATTAACGGATTTTGTAAAGAAATGTGGAGAAGCAGTAATAAATGAAGATGATATAAAAGAAGTTTTTCATTGTGATGACAATGCTTCTCGATCATCAATCAATTAATGAATGGCGAAATCTGTAGTATGGTTCTAGATCCAGAAAAAAACGCTATCAATAGTGAAGAAATTGACAAAGAAGTTACTAAAAGCGAGATAATTTCGATTGACTTGTTAGTCGGAATTCTCAAAACAGAAGTTACAGGACTTCAACAATGTAACTAAACAAGGGATTATGTCTGTCTACAGAATTAAAGAGAAAGTATCAGCACAAAAAACGAAACAACTTACATTGAAAGAAATGTTTAATAAGGTAAACAAATAAATATTAAACTGATGATCTAATATCCGGAAAAATCCCAGATCCAGAATTGTTGAAGTCCCGATGAGTCCGGATTTCAGGACTTTGTACTGTACCAAGCTGTACAGTTGATTGCAGTACATATAAATATTGTTAAAAGAAACTGATATGGTGAAAAGTATGGTCATGTGAGCAATGTTTATAAAGATAATTATCACTACATAAGAAGCCAAACCAAATAGCAACATCTACAGAAGAAAAACACTAAAAAGCATTGAGTAGTATAGCTTGAATGGGAAAGTATATAAATCCATTATGGAAATCAATAATTGGTAGGCACTCTGAGCTGACCATTTCCACAGAATATTAAAGTTATCTTCTATGGCCAGTCAATCATAAAATATTTAGCTGTGCAATTTTTTTTAAACACACTATATATTTTTAAGACATGTAAAAGTAAATAGATAAATTAAACCTTCATTTTTTATTCTTTATGTATAAAGTAGACGAATAAGGGATTTTTTTGATTAGCAATAATATTCTGCAAAATAATATATGCACTGGAAATTTTTTAATAAAAATTCTACACATCATTATAACCTATGTGATTATTTGCTAAGAATTATATTACATAAATTCTAATACAGAGGAACCTCAAGATACAAGTTTAATCCATTCCAGCATTGACCTCTATAGCAAATTTCTCATATCTAGAAGCAAACTTCCCCATCGAAAATAATGGAAATCCAGTTAATAGGTTCCACACACCCAAAAAATGTCTATCTAAAAATCATTTTTTATAATAAATAACACTGTAAATTATATAACTGTAATTTTCCTTTATGAAGAGTCCTGATTGGTGATAGGGATGTGGGGAAGACGAAATGGGTTACTGTGGGGATGGAAAGTTCCCCTCTGATTCGGGAAGACTCTCTCTTGAGAATTCTATCCCAATGGAAGCAGGTTTTAGGTCAGAATCCCTTAACTTTATTTTAGTTGCAGGTTGCTTTACCAAAAACTTATCTAATAACACTTGCTTCCATCTCCTTTTTATAATGCCTCTAAAATGCGAAACTACATTGTCATTACACAAGTTCATGGTGCGCCCAAACACTGCTTTATTAAAGTAATTTTCTTCAAAGGAAGTTTTCAATTCTTCCCACTTTGGCAAAACTTCTTTGATTTTACTGGAAGAGAGGGTTTTATCTCCTGTTCCCTCCTTCCCTAATGAAAGCTCTTCTACCACCTCTTGCTGCTGCTCTTTGTGAAGTTCTTCCCGTTCGTCCGTTGTAAGTTCTTCACTGTGCTCCTCCACTAACTCATCCACATCCAGACACACACTTTTATCTAGAGAATATCTTCGACTAGCTGCCCTGTGTTGTCCACAGGTTGAGGATCGAAACCTAAACCAGGAATACTCTGAATACAGTTTTTTCCATGCTGAATTCAGGGTCCTTGCTGAGACTTCTTCCCAAGCCTTATTAAGGAGGTTTAAACACTTTAGGACGTTGAAGTGATCCTTCCAAAATACTCTAAGGGTCAGGTTTGTATTTGCAGTCATTTCAAAGCAGCTTTGAAACAAGGCCTTCATGTACAGCTTCTTACAGTTGGAAATAACTTGCTGGTCCATAGACTGGAGGAGTGGTATTGGGAGGAAGAAACAAATTTTATGAACTGAAATTCCTCCAGAAAATCATCTTCATGCCCTGGAGGATGTGCAGGACCATTATCAATGACAGGGAAAGCTTTGAGTGGTAATGTATTTTCGTGAAGGTATTTCTTCGCTGAGAGACCAAAACCTCAATTGACCCACTTGATGAAAAATTGCTGTGTTACCCAGGCTTTGCTGTTGGCCCACCACATCACATTCAGTTGCTTTTTCTGCAAATTCCGCCACTTGAAAACTCATGGATTTTCTAAGCGGTAGATGTCAACAGCTTGATTTTATAATCTCCACTTACGTTGGTGCAAAACAAGAGGGTAAGCCTATCCTTTCATTAGCTTGCGGCCAAGCAAAGATTTCTCCTATTGTGTGATATAGGTCCTGTTCAGCATTTTCTTCCAAAAAGACCTGTTTCGTCACAATTAAATACTTGCTGGAGAAGAAAGCCCTCACTAGTAATATACTGTAGGAACTCTGGCTGAAATTTAGCAGCAGTAGCTGTATTATAGCTCCTAGCCTCTCCATGTCGCAATATACTGTCAACACAGGTTTTCTTTTTAAATTTTTTGAACCATCCACAGCTTGCCTTAAATGCCATCTCATCTTCAGTCGACATACCTGATGTTTTTCGGAGAAGGTCCAAGATTTCGGAGATTCTTAGCCTTAGCACAAATGATAGCTCCTGACACCAAATCGCCTTTTAACTGCTTCTCGTTAATCCATACCAACAACAGATGTTGAGAAGCTCAATATCTTCTAGGAGTTTTGGAGGGTGCTTGGAAGCAACGGTAACTCTTTTGGCCACACCAATTTTCTTAATTTCTTCCTTCTTCTTCTTCAGAATAGTGCAGCCCATCAATGTCAAACGGTCATAAATCTTCACCAATTCTGTCACTCTTACACCAAACTCATGTTTATCTGTGATTTCTTTCTTAATTTTAATGGCCATGGCATTCTCCTTTTTCTTTGCAACACTATCTGAAGCAACAATCTTCTTGGAAGGCATCATGAAATAATTATTTTCACGTTAAATGGAAAAAAACAATTAACTCACATGCGCACAAACACGTGGATCAAAGAACATTGAGTGATCAGATGAGGGGATTCTCCGTATCTAGCCGGATCAAGAAATGGTGCCATGAATACTAACAGCCTGGCTCATTACTCGAGTCAATGCTCATATTTAGAGAAAAATTTTTCGCTAATACTTTCCTCGTATCTCGAATTTCCTGTATATAGAGCTGCTTGTATCTCGAGGTTCCACTGTATTAAAAAATATATATATATATATTATTTAGAAATAGATAATTGTGGATTTATATGAATGCGTTTTTACTGGGAAAACACTTTGAAGTGTCATAAAAATTAGAGACTCTAAAAATTCCTATGCCTTATATGAAACAGAAATGACATTTAATCATACCCTAACTACACTATTTGAAATACTATAAATTAGACACACTACAATGTACTAAAGCAGGGGCTTTTAACCTTATTCCCCGTCTGGGCACATCTGACAAACAGGAAATGCTGGCGGGGGCAGTAAAAAATAAGTATAACGATTCTTAAGAGTTCTTCATTTTATTGCAATCATAAGCATCATAAACAATAACCCTACAATAAAAAGGTAACAAACAATTCAAAATAGTTGCATTTCATGCGATTTTTGGGCCACGGGCTGGCAAGATTGATACTAATATAGTAGTATATAGCGGACTGTTGCAGCTGCACAAAAATAGCTTTGCGGGCACGGGTTTAAGAACCCCTGTACTAAAGTATGACTTTTTAATTAATTTCAGAAATTAGATTAATTTACACAATGAAATATCAACAAGAATTTTGAATTACTGAAAACGATTAAAACATACTGTATTAAATCTGAATTTAAACATAAAACATTTTCACAGAGTTAGCTCATAAATATAAAAGAAAGAGCTAAATATTTAAAAATTTCAACTATAAATGCAATGTTAATAAATACTTTACCTGTGCACATGGTTGTAAAGCTTTCATAACACCATCCAATCTACTTGGAGGTAATTTAGTATAGACATAATACAGAAGTTTTAAAATGTGTTTGACTACACTCTCTCTAGCTAATCCTGTCAGGAAAAATTCATCAAACACCACAGTACAAAAGTCTTCTGCTGAAAACTCATCAATCAAATTTGTCACAAGGCAAGAAATGAGGCTATTTAGGAATGGATCTTCAAATGCGCGATCATTTTCACAAAGAGCTAAAGTACCCAGTACTCTCATTAAACCATGACGATCTTTTTGACGTGCTGTAAGAATCAATATAATTACATCATACAAACATAAAATGAACACAAACACTGAATTTATGTCAAATGTGATATATTATTTACATGTATTTAAAAATGAACAAAGACGTTTTTATTTTAAAAAAAAAGCAGTAAATATGTTTAGTTAGATGGCTAATTTATTAGGGCAGAGCAAATGACAAAGCTTTATGACTAAGGGAATGAACATTTTCATAAAAAAATCTGATGTGCACACCACGACTTCCTTGTACGGAATATTAAATTATGTGCAATTTTTCTTGCATTTCATTTAAACTTTATTAGATTGAATTAAATCTACTTCATTGATAATGCATTAACCACAATAGAATAAGCACACTCTTTAAAATTCACCATATTTGATTACTATATTGACACTCTGATGCTTAACAGCATTACATTTTTCATATTATAACTCAGGATGCAAAAATTTATATCATTTGAAGAATTATCTAATCGTCGTCACATGTTCTATTCAAATACTATAATAAATCTAAAACAATGTATAAAAGAAATTAAGCAAACAAAACAAAACTTTCACAAATGATTTAGTATTTCTCATTCAATTAATTCAGTTTTCACTTCCTGATAAGGCAAAAATACATAAAAACTCAAAATATCTATACAGTCAAAAGTCTTTAATCCAGACATCCATAATCCGGACCTCAAAGCTACAAACTTTCTGCGCATGCATCAACACATAATGCGTCGACGCATGCACATTTAATGTATAACGGACGGCGTAAGCTAAGCTAAACTTATCTATTTCAGTTAATGTTGCAGATTGCGTTGTTCCTTAATCTTCTAATTGGATCTGGCTTATTATTTTTTGCAGACTGTTAAAGCAATTTTATAAAAAGTAAGCTTGAACCTTCGATTATGTCAAAAGAATTTCCGTTTCTGGAGCTGCCAAAGGATTCTACAAGCGAAAGCATGTTTTGATGTCCATCAAACAAAAAGTGGAATTGCTGCAAAAAATGGATAAAGGCATATCCTTTGTTTCTCTAACCATTCCGAAATCTGTTTATCAATTTCACGCTGCTCTGTGGGAAAGGGGGGACATTGCGGCGCGCAATGAACTGGAAATTGATCTGTCAGCACTATCGTTATCTTCAGGGCAGATGTTTTTATTTTATTCGACTTATAATTCCTTACTAAATGTAATATTTCATCTCGATGTACTCCGTCTTTGATATGATTTAAATCAAATTCCTCGTCATTATAAATATTACGAATACACATCAAATAGTTTTCTAGTTGCAATTTTCTAATTTCGACTAATCCGGAATAGCTGAAGTCCCAACGAGTCCGGATTAAAGACTTTCAACTGTATTAAAAATTACAAAGTAAATCTTATATTGAAGAAGTGAAAATTGTAGAACGACGAGTACGAATCAATATAAAATTTCGGAGTGCAGCGTTAAACCATTGGAGATGAGAATGCATAGCTGAATGAAGGAACTGGGTCTGCAGTCAGAAGTTAGTCAGGAGAAGCATGGATCTAAACACTTATTTCCTCGAATAAATTCTGGAATGGATTAAGCATGATTTAATTCGCAATAATAAAAGAAGGCATTATCATATTTGTTGTTGTGAAGCTTAATTTTTCTAAATTGGCAACAAATTCGCTATTCTGTCAAATTTCAAATGTAAACAAAAATGTACGCCATGTTAATTAAAGTAATTAGGCTTAAACACACTTAAACAGCTTTTCAATTGTTGATAATTCTACAAATATTTCTTGCAGATTACCTAAAGGCATAAAACCCTTAATCGGAAGATAAGAACAAAATAATTCAATCCTTTTTAAAGCAAAAAATGCACAATTTACAAACATAAACAGTAAAGAAACTGAGATAACTGAGCCGGATAACAGAGTGGATATGTATAGAAATATATTTATGTACGTTTGGTGCGGCCGATTGCAACCATAATACGAAGGTGCACATCTACATGTTATAGCAGTTCTATATACAAAATTTCAACGTTCTGAGGCTACACGTTGAGTTATGCAAGATACATATGTACAGACATCCCAAAAAATTCTCTCCAGAATTCGTTTTAAATCAGTTTTATAATTTTTTGGAGGGAAACGAGTCTTTTATTCTGTCCTTACATACAGATGTCATGCAAAAACATCATTAAATTGCATTTGATAGCGTTCAAAATAGATATTTTCGTTGAAATATGATGCCTGAAACTTTTCGCAATTACAATACTTCCTTTTTACTTCATACAAGGAAGTAAAACACCTTTTGTGGAAAGGTAGTTTGTATTTTGCAATATACATGAGCCAAATCCTAAAACTGCATACTGCTAGCAAATTTGTTTGGAAAGAAAACACAAGACAGCCACTGGTCATTCAGCAGTCTTATCATTTTGATCACTATTACTGACCAGGGTTCGTACACATTTCTGCACATGGAAATTAAGTACTTTTAAAGACTTTTATGGACCATTAATGAAAAAAATTAAGAACCTATGAGCAAATGGGAACTGAATAAATTCAATTAAAAATATTATCTATGCTTGAATTTCACTTTTGTTATACCATCCTAAAAATAAAACAATCCCTAAGTAGTATGCATTATTACAAAATGAATTAATTAAATAATATTTATTAATAAGTTTGAGAATAATAAAACTTTAAGCAATTTATCAAGTAGTATTAAATTTTTTACACTCATAATAGTCGGACATATTTGAAAGAAGATAAGTGACATTTACGTTTTACTAACAGTTAGCTTTATGTTGATTTTTTTATGTCTCATTTTGTCACATACCTGGTCATTCTAGAGGTTTAGTAAATAGCAGGTAGACTTTAAGTCAAACGGCATAGGTTAAAATGAGAAGTAACATCATAATCAGCATGATTCATAACAAAAGATTGAATGTTGTCCCCGCTGCTGCTTGTCTAGAGAGAGACCTGCTGATTATAGAACAAACCTGAAAGGCCTGATCTAGGCATGGTTGGCAAGAGTTAAAAGTTATTCCAGACTCTGTTTGATGCAGTTAGTGTCGTAGCTTCCTGTAGAGTTCCAGGGGTTGTAACCCAGTTAGTATATTTTAAGGTTTCAATAAGCCATTAAAGCACCAGAGGTGATAAATTATTTTGTATTATTTTTACGCCTCACTAGATGCAAAGAATAAGTCTTACTTGAATTTTTACATTTTTGTGTTTTATCTTGTGACCACAGTGAGTATTAATGAAAGGCAATAACTCGCTTTAATACACAGAGATAATTTTTAAGGGTAAGCAGTTAGTTATAAATAATTAAATTAAGTAGTTAGATAACCTTGGTCAATATAAATTTACATGGCCACTATTAAATTTTGCCCAAACATTTTGGCTAGCTTATATCGATGTCCTTCTCTTTAAGCACCTTTTCTAACAATTAAAGATTTGTCTCAATATGCAAACCAATGCTCACACTAGTTTCTGCATGCTTTATGTTCTCTCTCCTCAACCTCTCCATAATTTACCTAAGAGGGTTAACTTGATCTGGTAAAAGTTAAATATGCCAAAACCCTCGACAGGCGTGAAGCAAATTATCACTATGGGCTGAAAGTGACTACATTATCAGACAAAGGCTTAAATAAGGCTCTTATTTAAAAAGAACTTAGAATATGAAGGCATGTACTGATGCTAACAAAATCAATTACAGCTCACGGTGATGTAATTAAACAAGAACAGTCAAATTCAAACTAAAAATGTAGACTGAAGGTCAAAGATTATATAATTTAATTTTAATTTAATCTGGTTCAGTAACTCTTATCGTATAGACAGAAATGGCAAATTATAGTTAAGGCGAAATTATAAAACATTGAGTAATTTACATAATAATACTGCCATATCTTTGAAAAATAATTTCCTTTATGTATTCAGTTTCTTTCTTCAACACGTTTCCTTTTCATTTTAGAATTTTTGGATTTAATCTGAAAAAAATCTATGAAATTAAATAAGAAGTTTTCATTTGAAAACTAAATAATGTAAATATTAAAATACAAGCTCATACCATTTTGTAATGTATAATACATTGCTAAAACAGACGCCACACCATTTTCTTGGATGTATGCTTGGTATGCATCAGGAGGAGGACCAAAATGCTCTATTGTTGTAATTGCTGATTCACGATCATCTTGGGGAAGTTTCGCATTGATAGCACGGATCTACAAATTCTCAGAAGTAAATTTAAAATTGTCATTGAAATTGTAAACTATGTTTAAGATAAATAATTTTATCTTACCTGATCATCAACCATTAAGGACATAAGAGAAGGTAGAAACTTTGTCACAAGCTGGGCATCCTGTAAAAAGTAATATTATAAAATATTAATGATTACAGTTGGAATATTTTAGAATTGCTTAATTTTCTTCACTTGTATGCAAAAAATGCAATTAATTTTATTAAATATTTCACAATATTTTACACACAAACATATAAAGAATTTCAAATATAAAGATTGCATTAGCAGACAAAAATAACATTTAGAAATAATATTTATAACAATTTTGAATGCCTTACATAAACACTTCAATACATACCAGTTTTGGTTCTTTGAACACTTGAGTACTAATCATATCCCAGGCTTGCAGTCCTAATGCTAACATACGCAGCAATAAAACAAGAACAGCATTTTCCTTAAAGAATAAAATACAACTGCAAATTAAATTTATTTCTAGGAAAATGAGGAGAATAAAAATCAAACAATTTGGACTGATTACAACATTTTATGTAACACTAAATAAAATTTCCCCAAGCATACTATGAAATATATGAACTAAAAACAAATCATTATTTTACTTATGAAACCTTTACAGTAAAAGTAGACTTTAATTTAAGCATGTATTGATTATTACATTAATTAGAAATGGAATTAGTACAACATGTCAATTATTATATTTAACTGGAAAAATAGCTTCATTTAAGTTAAAGAAAAATTGAAGATGATTTTCCGAGATACCATGAAATACTTTCAAGTAGTTTCTCTACATATTTAAGAAATCATAAAATGCTAAATGCATAGATGTGCATAAGACAAAAATGCTAATTCCAGGATATAAAAGTCAATCATTTATAAAAATTTAAGACAGCATCAACTGATATATAAGACTGATATGACTGAATAGTTAAGGAAAAATATGAAAGCAGTTAAGTAAAAATATGAAAAGAAATTACAGTAGCAGTTTCTAAATGGGGATAAAAGCTGAACTAAGAAGGTATGGATAAAATTTGTTTTATGGGCATTTTATTGCAAAATTTCATTTTTATTAATGTAGCAAATGAGGTGATATCACAAAAAAGTACATGGATGATTTAAGGAAATTGCTATGAAATTTCCACCGGAACAAAAGAAACAAAAACTGACTTATAAGTACACTTATTCATTGATTTTTTAGATAAATACCTAATTATAATGTAAAACATAAATGCAATAACATGTATGCATATAATGATTTTTTTTTTTTGAATTACAAGTCATCACTCTTTTCTTTTGTTTCTTTTTCTTCTTTTTATACTGTTCTGTTATCAAGACCAGCTTCAGAAATGTATGAATGCATGCAGGGGTGTATGTATGTGCATATAGGTGAATATGTATATGCATACATACATACACACTTAAATATATATATGCATCATACATGAATACAAACATCCGTACATACATATATTTCTGAATCCGATCCTAGTAACAGAACATTACCCTTTTTGCCCCTGTAAAAAACACTGCTAAGCTACCATGAGAGGGTTGCACTAATATGTATGCACCCTTTAAAAAGATTCAGTTTATGATGATATTTATTATAACATTTAAAAATTATGATTTTTCTCATTTCTTTCTTTTACAACTTCATTAGTTAATCTACCTTGAATTTTGGACATTCTAGTGTAGATAGTTAAGAGGGTACTTATATATCAGCACAATCATTTGGGTATAATTTGGCAATATTTTACAGAAGAAAAAGAACAATATTTTATAATTGCAACACAATTATCAATATGTGTATATTTTATAACTGCAACACAATATCAATATATGTATATTTTACATTTTAACTATGTATTTATCCCAAAAATGAGTCAATAAATCAATTTAAAAGTAAGTAAACTGTTGGAACCAGGAATACAATAAAAAAAAAATGCATACAAAACTAATACTGTTACAAAAATGTATACTGTTTCTTAAAACTGAAACTATTACATGTATTTTTGCAAGAGCTTGGCACATTAAAAAATTTGGTAATTTCTATTAAAATGATGGTGCTAATACATGAATATTATTAAAAGACCTTAAATTTATAATGTCCAGTTAAACTGCATTTAAAACAGAAGTCTTTAAATGTAAACAAAATAAAATTTAAAATAACTACCAGGAAGAAACGTTAAGGAAAGCACTTACTCTAGCATATCCTTCTTGGCCAATAAGATATGTTATTATCTTTAATGCAGAAGTAGCAAGGAAGTTTATAGCATAGGGATCACATAAGGTCATTGAAAGATCTCTAATAAAGATAACAACATAAAAAGTAAATAAACAACATGTATGAAATTCAAATACACATTAATGCAAAAATAAATTTTGCTTAACTTGTATCAACACAAGAAAGTTTATAGCATAAAGACCATATACGATGATAGAAAAGATCTCTGATAAAAATAATAATATACAAACTAAATAAATACCAAATATGAAGTTTTATTACATATTCATACCCTCCTCCCCCAAAAAAAGTTTTCAGTTACTTTTTATCAATAAATTTATATGAATTATTAAGCAATTATAAACAGTGGTTTAAAAATCATATCAGAATATTTATAATTACAAATCACAAATGTAAAAAATAATAATGAATTTACAATAATAATAACAATATTTCAACACATCATAATGCATAATTTAAATACTATGAAGTGACAATACCAAGTTTATTAAAATATTTGGGACTAATAGGTTATTTCTAATCAAGTTACTATAACTTCAGAAATAAAAGACAAAAATAGAATAGTGAAATTACAATAAATTTAAGTTAAATCAGAAGTGTGACAAACAGTCTAGTTAATCAGCAAAACAAAGTGGTTTATGGCAAAAAGCAGCCTGCAAAAATATGGCAATAACAGCCAGTGCTACTAAAGCAAACTAAAGGAAGTTGAGTCAGTCATAATTTTTAAGCATCTCTCACTACTTTTAGAATTAAAAAATAGCAGGAAAAATTAAGAAATTTGCTTTTATAAAATATTTATTCTAATATTATTATTGTTTTTTACTTATTATTAATTTCAGTAATACATTATACAATTAGCTTTTTTTCTCCATTGTTTTAACCTGTGTCAAAAGGCACATACAATTATTATGCCCTTGTAAAATTTTTAATAATTTCTGGTTAATCCACACTTCTGCTGAAAAGTCACGAAAAAGTATTTATTACAGTTGCCAAAATAGTTATGTTACTACCTATGATGTTACCAAAAAGTATTTATATGGTACCAAGATATGCAACATGTCTGCTTTGACTGGGGAGCAATACAGAAATCATATGCAGCTGAGTCTGTGCAATTTATTAATATTTTTAAGAGAAAACAGATTGCTGTGTACATGGGGGGGGGAAGGAGCATTTCTTGAAAAAAGGTGTTTTATTACCAATATTTCTTGTTTTCTTAATTTTACTGACTGAGAGTTTTTGCAAAGGTCTTACTGCATCATCACTTTGAAAACAGCTGTTGGCTTTCACACATTACACTTGGAAAAAAATCAGTCACCAACTAGTCTGCAGACACTCTTCAAAGTTGCCAAGGAGTTTGCGACATTTTGGTGTGTGTGTGTGGTGGAGGGTTTACGGATAATCAGAAAATACCATATTTTTTCAAACAATATTAAATAAAACTTCAGAATTCTAAACTTTAATTTTTTTTCCTACATCCTTTGCTGCATTTTGATTGCAAATATATTACTATACTCTTTCTAGTGAAACTACGACTTAAAATTTACTTATTTATTTATTTATTATGCAATCAAATTGCATAAGACTTACATAAGAATCCCATTACTCTCTGCTGTCTATATCTGACAGTTTAAACCTTTCTTTCTATATTTTACAACCCAGTTAAGTTTGAAATATGATTTTCACGTTAAATTATTAACTTAAACCCTTGTTCGCAAAGGTTTAGTACAAGGTGTAACCTAACGAGAGGAAAAAAATTGCTTAGTTTGATAATGGGAACTGTTCTACTTGTAGCAACATGCGCGCGCAAGGTATTCTTCCATATTTCAGCTAATATCTATAAGCACATCTTGGCAGTTGTTCATTTATGTGCACATTATTAAAACAATGGATAAAATAGCAAAGATTCAATATTAAATTATATGTAAAACTGAGTAACAAAATGTGAACTGCATCTGGAAATGCAGCTGTGACTCAAAAGAATCTATGGGAATAGTTTAAATGTAGGAGATCAATGACAAATGTTGACAAAATTCATGAGCTGTCGATGCAGAATAGGTATTTGTCTATTTGAATGATATGAAAGAAATGAATATTCCTAAAGAAATCATTAAAACCATCATCACTGAGGATTTGGGTAAACTCAAAATTTATGCGAGTTTTATAACTCACTACTTAACAAAAACAAACAGAAAATTGAATCATGTGGCAATTTTATCAGCACTGCACACAGTGATGTTCTGTTTTCATAGCATAAATCTAACCAACATAACTTGAAAAGAAGCATAAAGCTTCCAATGTGATCCACAAACTAAATGAAAAGTATGGTTTCTCTCACCAGCAAAATCAAAAAGTTTCATTTTCCAAAACTTGAAGGTAGAAATACTGTTCATTACCTCTTTTGATGCTCATGCTTAATTCACAATTCATACCAGAAAGTCGGTCAATGACAATTTTTA